TTCACCTAGGCACATTGTCATCAGGTTATCCAAAGTCAAGGGGAAGGAAAGAATCTTAAGAGCTGTGAGGCAGAAGCACCAGGTAACTTACACAGAAAAACCGATCAGATTAACAGCAGATTTCTCAGAAACTCTACAAGCTAGAAGGAATTGGCACCCTATCTTCTGCCTTCTCAAACAAAACAATTATGAGCCAAGAATTTTCTATCCAGTGAAACTAGGCATCATATATGAAGGAAAGATACAATCATTTTCAGACAAACAAATGCTGAGATAGTTTGCCATTACCAAACCACCACTACAAGAACTGCTAAAAGGAGCTCTAAGTCTTGAAATCTATTCTGGAAACACATCAAAAAAAGAACCTTTTTAAAACATAAATCACATAGGACCTATAAAACAAAAATACAAGTTAATAAGCAAAACCAAAAACCAAAGTACACAGGGAACAAAGAGCACAGTGAAAGCAACGGTACCTCACATTTCAGTACTGACCTTGAACATAGACGGCCTAAATGCTCCACTTAAAAGATACAGAACTCACCAACTGGCTGGGCCCAGTGGCCCATGCCTGTAATCCCGGTACTTTGGGAGGCCAAAGAGGGTGGATCACCTGAAGTCAGGAGTCCAGGACCAGCCTGACCAATATGGTGAAATACTATTTCTACTAAAAGTACAAAAAAAAAAAAAAATTAGCCTGGGCATGGAGGCATGAACCTGTAGTCCCAGCTACGTGGGAGGCTGAGACAGGAGAATTGCTTGAACCTGGGTGGTGGAGATTGCACCATTGCAGCCTGGGCAACAGAGTGAGACTCTGTCTCAAAAAAAAAAAAACAAAAAAGAAAACTCACCAACCAACTACCTGCTGCCTTTAGGAGACTCACCTAACACATAAGGACTTATGAAAACTTAACGTAAAGGGGTGGAAAAAGGCAATTCATGAAAATGGACACCAAAAGCAAGCAGGGGTAGCTATTCTTATATCAGACAAAATGAACTTTAAAGCAACAGTGGTTAAAAGAGACAAAGAGGGACATTATATATTGGTAAAAGACCTTGTCCAATAGGAAAATATTACAATCCTAAACATACATGCACCTAACACTGGAGCTCCCAAATTTATAAAACAACTACTAATAGACTTAAGGAATGAGATAGACAGCAACATAATAATAATGGGGGACTTCAATACTCCACTTACAGCACTAGACAGTTCATTCTGACAGAAAGTCAACAAAGAAATAATGGATTTAAACTATATCTTGGAACTAATGGACTTAACAGATATATACAAAACATTTCATTCAACAACTGCAGAATACACATTCTATTCAACCGTGCATGGAACTTTTTCCAAGATGGATCATATGATAGGCCATAAAATGAGCCTCAATAAATTTAAGAAAATTGAATTACAACAAGCACTCTCTCAGACCACAGTGAAATAAAACTGGAAATCAACTCCAAAAGGAACCTTCAAAACCACACAAATACATGGAAAGTAAATAATCTGCTCCTGAATGAGCATTGGGTCAAAAACCAAATCAAGATGGAAATTTAAAAATTCTTTAAACTGAATGACAACAACACGACCTATCAAAACCTCTGGGATGCAGCCAAGGCAGCGCTAAGAGGAAAGTTTACAGCCCTAAACACCTACATTGAGAAGTCTGAAAGAGCACAAACTCACATTCTAAGGTCACCACACATCAAGGAACTAGAGAAACAAGAACAAACCAAACCCAAACCCAAACCCAAACCCAGCAGAAGAAAGAAAATAACCAAGATCAGAGCAGAGTTTAATGAAATTGAAACAAACAAACAAACAAAAAGTACAAAAGATAAATGAAACAAAAGGCTGGTTCTTTGAAAAGATAAATAAAATTGATAGACCATTAGCAAGATTAAGCAAGAAAAGAAGAGAGAAAATCCAAATAAGCTCACTAAGAAACAAAACAGGAGATATTACAACTGACACAACTGAATTACAAAAGATCATTCAAGGCTGCTATGGACACCCTTACACATATAAACTGGAAAACCTAGAAAAGGTGGATAAATTCCTGGAAGAATACAACCCTCATAGCTTAAACCAGGAAGAATTAGATACCCTGAACAGACCAATAACAAACAGTGAGATTGAAATGGTAATTTAAAAATGACCAACAACAACAAAAAATGTCCAGGACCAGACAGATTCACAGCAGAATTATAGCAGACATTCAAAGAATTGGTATCAATCCTTTTGACACTATTCCACAAGATAGAAAAAGAAGGAACCCTCCCTAATTCATTCTATGAAGCCAGCATTACCCTAATTCCAAAACCAGGGAAGAACATAACCAAAAAAGAAAACTACAGACTGATATCCTTAATGAACATAGATACTAAAATCCTTAACAAAATACTAGGTAACTGAATCCAACAACATATCAAAAAGATAATCCACCCTAATCAAGTGGGTTTCATACCAGGGATGCAGGAATGGTTTAACATATGCAAGCGAATAAATGTGATAACCACATAAACAGAATTAAAAACAAAAATCACATGATCATCTCAATAGAGCAGGCAAAGGAAAGAGAGAAATCATAGATTACACAAACAAATGGAAACACATTCCATGCTCATGGATGGGTAGAATCAATATTGTGAAAATGACCATACTGCCAAAAGCACTCTACAAATTCAACTTAATTCCCATCAAATACCACCATCATTTGTCACAGAATTAGAAAAAACAATTGTAAAATTCATATGGAACCAAAAAAGAGCCTGCATAGCCAAAGCAAGATTAAGCAAAAAGAACAAATCTGGAGGCATCACACCACCTGATTTCAAACTATACTATAAGGCTATAGTCACCAAAACAGTGTGGTACTGGTATATAAACAGGCATACAGACCAATAGAACAGCATAGAGAACCCAGAAATAAACCCAAATGCTTACAGCCAACTGATCTTCAACAAAGCAAACAAAAACATAAAATGAGGAAAGGACACCCTTTTCAACAAATAGTGCTGGGATAATTGGCAAGCCACATGTAGGAGAATGAAATGGGATCCTCATCTCTCACTTTATACAAAGATCAACTCAAGATGGATTAAGGACTTAACCCTAACACCTGAAACTATAAAAATTCTGGAAGATAACATTGGGAAAACCCTTCTAGACATCGGTTTAGGCAAGGACTTCATGACCAAGAACCCAAAAGCAAATGCAATAAAAACAAAGATAAATAGCTAGGACCTAATTAAACTAAAAAGCAAATTTGGACCTAAAAAGGAACAGTCAGTAGGTAAACAGACAACCCACAGGGTGAAAAAAAACCTTTACAATCTATACATCTGACAAAGGACTAATATCTGGAATCTACAGTGAACTCAAATCAGGAAGGAAAAAAAAAACAATCACATCAAGAAGTGGGCTAAGGACATAAATAGACAATTCTCAAAAGAAGATATACAAATGGCCAACAAACATATCAATTACTAATGATCAGGATACTACCTTACTCCTGCAAGAATGGCTATAATCAAAAAATCAAAAACAGTAGATGTTGGTGTGGATGCAGTGATCAGGGAACGCTTCTACACTGCTGGTGGGAATGTAAACTAGTATAGCCACTATGGAAAACAGTGTGGAGATTTCTTAAAGAACTAAAAGTAGAACTACCATTTGATCCAGCAATCCCACTACTGGGTGTCTACCTAGAGGAAAATAAGTCATTATTTGAAAAAGATACTTGTACACATATGTTTATAGCAGCACAATTTACAATTGCAAAATCATGAAACCAACCCAAATGCCCATCAATCAGCAAGTGGATAAAGAAACTGTCATATATATATATTATATATATATATATTATATATATATATATAATATATATATATTATATATATATAATATATATATAATATATATTATATATATATAATATATATATTATATATATAAAATATATATAATATATATATTATAAATATATATTATATATTTATAATATATATAAATAAAATATATATATATAATATAAATAAAAAATATATATATAATAAAATATATTATATATAAAATATATAATAAAATATATATATATATAATGATGTATCATATATATGTGTGTATATATCTATATATGATGGAATACTACACAGCCATAAAAAGGAATGAATTAACAGCGTTTGCAGTGTCCTGGATGAGACTGGAGACTATTATTCCAAGTGAAGTAACTCAGGAATGGAAAACCAAACATCGTATGTTCTCACTGATCTTTGGGAGCTAAGCTATGAGGATGCAAAGGCATAAGAATGATATGATGGACTTTAGGGACTTGCATAGAAGAATGGGAAGTGGGCAAGGGAAAAAAGACTACAAATATGGTGCAGTGTATGCTAGGGAGATGGGTGCACCAAAAATCTCACAAATCACCACTAATGAACTTACTCATGCAACCAAATACCACCTGTACCCCAATAACCCAATAACTTACGGAAAAAAAAATTAAATGCATTTATTTTTATTTTGAGAGAAAGGATCTCTCTCTGCCACTCAGGATGGTGTGCCGTGGAGTGATCATAGTTTACTACAGTCTTGAACTCCTGGGCTCAGGTGATCCTCTTGCCTCAATATCCCAAAGTGCTGGGATTGCAGGTGTGAGCCATTGCCCCGATCTAAATAATTTAGAAAAGTGCCTTGGTGGGGACCATACAAGTGGCAGAAATGATTATTTTTTTCAGTTTTACTTAGACTAAAACTGTCACAAAAATCCTAAGAGGCTTAAGCATGACTGTAAAAAATACAGGTCAAGATAATCCTGCAACACAAGGGCAAGAGAGTGAGAAGATGAACCATTAAATGATGATATTTAAGAGCACATGTATGTAATATTATAAATAAGTGTCAGCACTTACTGGGAATGCTCACTGAGTAGGTGTCCAATCCGAAAAGTTTGGAGACCACGGCTTCTGAACCTGGATGGCGAGCCTCAGCACAGATGCGGCTTCTGAACCTGGATGGGGACCAGCGAGCCTCAGCACAGGTGCGGCTTCTGAGCCTGGATGGGGACCAGCGAGCCTCAGCACAGGTGCGGCTTCTGAGCCTGGATGGGGACCAGCGAGCCTCAGCACAGGTGTGGCTTCTGAGCCTGGATGGGGACCAGCCAGCCTCAGCACAGATGTGGGCTTCCTTTTGCTCCTCTACTTTGATTTACTCAACTGCCCTTTGCGTTGGTAAGGACTTCAGAGGCCAGCAGCCTTGTCCAAAGTGACATGGGTGCTCATTGGCCAAGCCAGGCCTCTTCACTCCAAAGGCAGCTTCCAGCTGCTTTTTTGTCTGCCCCATCCTGCTTGGAGGTATAAAGAGGGACCCCCAACAACCTTTGCACTTTGTCCACTGGCTACCTTCTGCAGCCCCACCCCCTCAAAGAATAAGCAGGCTTTGGACCAGGGAAATTTGGAGCTGGGTTGTGCTCTGAGTTTCATCAGTTTTGTTGCGTCCTGGTCATGGCCATGTCAGTGGGCTTTTTCTGCTGCTCTGGATCAGGAGGTGGCTACTGTAGTCCTTAGACCATGTCCAAACAATTGCTAACAAGTAGGTATGAAGTTGTCCACTGATTAATAAAGGACTCCACTGTTAAGCAATAATTTGTCTATATCTGAGCCCATATTCAACAAAAGCCATATCTGAGGCCAGTGCAGTGGTTCACACCTGTAATCCCAGTACTTTGCAAGGCCAAGGTGGGTGGATCATCTGAAGTCAGGACTTGGAGACCAGCCTGGCCAACATGGTGAAGCCTCATTTCTGCTAAAAATAGAAAAATTAGCTGTGTGGGGTGGTGTGTGCCTATAGTCCCAGCTACTTGGGAGACTGAGGCAGAAGAACCACTTGAGGTCGGGAAGCAGAGGTTGCAGTGAGCCAAGATTGCACCACTGTACTCCAGCTTGGGCAACAGAGCTCAAAAAATTAAAAAATAAAAATAAAAAAGCCATATCTGAAAAGCCAATTGCTGTCATGATGGTTTTATAAGACAATTGTCATCTAGAGGTAATGCATGGGCTTCCTGTCTAAGAGTTCATTCAATGTATAATAAAGGGCCAAGCGTGGTGGCTCATGCCTGTAATCTCAGCAATTTAAGAAGTGGGGGTAGGAGGATTGCTTGAGTCCAAGAGTTGAAGGTTGGATGCAGTTAACCGTGTTTGTGGCACTGCGCTCCACCCTGAGTAATAGAGTCAGACCCTGTTTCACATACGCACAAAAAAGTATAATAAGGAACTTGTTGAGCATCTATTACTTGCCAGGCACTGTTCTAGGTGCTATGGGTACCAGGGAAAGGTAAAGAGGGGCAAGTTTCCTGCTTGCTCATTCTAGTGGAGAGTGGAAAAACAAAAAATATTCATCATGAATCACACATCACGACTGTTGAATGACTGCCCTCATTTTTTATCCCTCCTCCCTGTGGACACAGGCCTGCCTGGCCTCACTATGTACAGAGGGCATTTCCCCACTCCCTGAGTTTGGGCTTGATCACAAGGATGTACTTTGGCCCATAAAATGCGGTAGAAAGGATGATATGTCTGTTTTGAACCTAGGCCTTGAGAGAGCTCATATCTTTCTGCTTGCCCTATTGTTCCTCTGCTATTACCATGAGAAAAACTTGCCCAGTCTCACCCGAGGGGGAAGATGAGAAATGTGGAACAGAACTGTCCTCCCCCGACCCACAGCCCTTCCATGGGGGGCACAGGTGCCCAGCTGAACCCCAGCTAACATGCAGTTGTGAGTGATAATAAATGCCTGTTATTTGAAACCATGGAGTTTTGAGGTGGCTTGTTACACAGCAATAGCTGACTGATACAAGAAGAGAATGGCAAAATGGAAACAGATAATGGTGCAGCAGCAGAAAGAACCTCCTTTAGGGAGGATGGCCTGGGGAGGCCTGGTGAGGAGCTGACATTTAGGCTGAGATGTGACTTTTGAGATGGAGCTTGTCACATATTGAAGGGAAGGGAGTGGAAACAGACAAAGGTCCTGAGGCTAGAAGGAACTTGTTGTGTTTCAGGAACTGACAGAGAACTGGCATGGCTGAAACAGAGTTCATCAGGAAAATAGGGGTCTAGGTGATGTTGTAGAAAGGCACAGGGCTTTTGAAGCCAGTGCAAGAGTTCGGATTCTATTTGGGTACCATAGAAAGTTTTAAAAAAGTTTTAAGGAGTGAGTGTGAGTCAGATTCTAGAGTTTTAATAGATTATTCCTGTTCCTGTGAATGGAAGCAGGAACATCAGTTAGGAGGCTGTTGCAGACATCCAGATGAAAGATGATGACAGTGAGCGGAGATGCTGAGAACTGGATTAATAATGCATTTTCTCGTGGGTGTCACAGGATCTCAGGAGTTCTGGTTTGGAGTGTGATGGAAAGCTGCTTTTCATGTAGGCTCAAGGTATAAACCTTTCAGCTACCAATTCCTTTACCCCCAAAAAAGCCATCCCTGGAAATCTAGAGGAGAGAAAGGAAGGTAGATGATGGGTGTGCCCGTGGCATCCTACTGTGAGCACACATACTGCATCAGCGCGCTAACTCATGTTTGTGAGAACTTACTGTGTTCTAAGCACTGCACTAAGCGCTTGGCATTCTCACGACTCCACGAAGCAGGTTATGATCTCTCTCTTACAGATGATGAAACAGAGACACCATGAGGATAAATGACTTTCTCAGAGTCCCATGCAGCTGGTAAGAGGAGCAAAGTGTTCTGGGGACTCACACAGTCCTGTGATGGCCACGCCCCAGAGGAGGACCTCAGGTGTCTGAAGGGTATTGCAGTTTGCCATTGAAAGGCTGCAGTTCTGAGCAATGGCCCCCAATACTGTGGCACCAGAGCTCGGATACCTGGATGCTCAAGGCCCCTGAGCCCCTCTCACGTGTAGGCTGATGGCATAAACCTTTCAGAGTTCTTGTCTGCATGTTCCTGGCCCCAGCTTGCAAGCTTAGCTTTGCTCCCAGCTCTGGATGGTGGCTGATGCCCTTAAGAAACCTCTTTGTTGGTTGACACATGATTCCCAAGACTTTTCAACAAGAGTTTTAAAGCAAATGGAAAAAATCTTGGCTTTTGGACCCAAAGTTTTAAGCCCCCTTGGAGATCTGGGAAGTCGAATTCTTGGGCTAGTGCCTGGTTTGATGGTGATGGGCATGGGAGTCTTGCAGTTTTTAGGCATATTCCAAGGCAATGGCTTTCTTCCCTTACTCCAATACAATGAGCTCTGAGGCCAGCTGTAGTGCCTCTCCAGGGGGCCTCTGACTTTCCTCTGTATCTTTGTTAGTACGTTTCCTTTCCTGCCAGCTCCCATTCTTCCCACCAGCAGGAAGAGAGGACAAAACCCGGAGTTCCCTCAGCTGGCCCACACCATGCCCTGGACAACTCTGAGGTAGCAGAGGACAATGGAGCCCTGGAGAGCCTGGGGCCGGCTTCCTCCCGACAACCTTCATCCTCACTTGCAGTTTCTGCTGAAGTCGCTTTGCTTTGTTCTCATGGAAAGGTGTTGGTGATTGTGCCTGGGGGGTGGGGGTGAGGTTCCCCTGTATATGGCAAGGGACCCTGTGTGCTAAGAAAGCGGAGGAACGTCCATGAACTTGAATTTCTCAGTGTACTGCATCCCTGGTTCTTCGATTCCCAAGACAAGAGGGCAGAGCTCAAGGACAGCCAGGTCTTGCCTTTCCCTGCCTGTATCTAGAGATGAAGGTCCCAACCCATATGGCCTCAACCCAGAACCCAGCCTGGAGGCCACTGCAGAGGCGCTGCTTCTCTGTGCCCGAGTTCCTTCTCTGGTGTGCTTGGAGCCACCCACACCCTGTGAGGTAAAGCTGTTGGTAAATAAAGGCTTTAGCTCCCTTGCTCCTTGGAGAGAAGATTCTGAGGTGTGTCCCATGGTGTCTCAGCAGGTCCCACTGCGGCACAGTATCCTCCCCATACTTCCCATCTCCCTCTCCCCTCCCCATGTGCTCCCACGGAAAGCACTTGCATTCTAATCCTTGTCTCAGGCTCTGCTTCTGGGGAAAACCCAACCTTGGAAAAGTGCTGCTAGAGATCTTCAGTTTCTACTCATACTTATAGAGGGTAGGGGATGGTCATTTTGAGTGGCAAGAGCAAGTTGAACACCATGGAGATTTCCTTCAAGGATGAGCAAAGAGTGGCTGGGGCCAGTGGTTCACGCCTGTAATCCCAGCACTTTGGGAGGCTGAGGTGGGTGGCTTGCTTAAAGCCAGGAGTTTGAGACCAGCCTGGGCAACATAGTGAGACCCCGTTTCTACAAAAAAGAAGAAAGAAAGAACAAAGAGCAAAGTAGCTTGTAGTTCCAACAGAACAGCCTGCCTTCTGCTTTTTATATTTTTATAGGAAGTATCACTTCCATGAAGGAAAGTGCACACATTTTAAATGTATAATTCAGTGAAAATTTCCATGTGTCTATGACTAGGTAGCTACTACCTGGAACAGGATCCATTTTGAACACCCTTGAAGGCTTCCTCATTTCTCTTCCCAAATAAGGACTGTCCCCACCAGTATTTGAGCTTCCATCTCTACAGATTAGCTTTGCCTACTCTTGAATTTCATTCAATGAAATGTTGGTTTTCTAGGGCTGCTGTGACAAATGACCACAAAGCATGTGACTTAAAATAATAGAAACTGTTGCTCTCAGAATTCTGGAGTCTGGAAGTCTGAAATCAAAGGGTCAGCAGGTATGGCTATGCCACCATTTAGCGACGCTTCTATCCATGGACATTTGAGTTATTTGTAGTTATTGTGAACAAGGTGGCTATGAAAATTTTGTATATATCACTTGGGAGCCATAAGCCCTCAATTCTGTTGAATGTTTACTGTGAAGTAGAATTGGTGGGCCGTAAAATGAGCACATGTTTAGTTTGAGTAGATACTGCCCAGGAGTTTTCCAATGAGCTGTGCCAATCCCACCAATGGTGCATGGGAGTTCTCGCTGCTCCACATCCTCACTGACATTTGTGTCAGTCATTCTGGTGCACACTAGCATCTGGGTAGAGTTTTAATTTACATTTCACTGATGGTGAGTTTTCATTTCACTGGAAAGTGATGGGTGGCTATCTATGAGCTTATTGGCATTTAGATAGCCACTCATCACTTTCCAGTCATAGCTTCCTTTACAATGTGGCAAAGGGATCATGCCTTTCTTTTTCTCTTAGTTTCCTTAACAGTACACCCTTGTATACT